CTTGAAAAGATGTTTTTCAAAGAAAATACAGAAATTATTAAAAGCACATGAATGATGTTTAATATGATTAGCCATCAGGGAAATGCAAGTCAAAATTGCAATGAGATACCACTTCACACCCCTAAAATGGTTTAAAAATGTTTAAAAAGATGTACAGTAATAAGATTGGCTAGGCTATGAGGAAAATAGTAACCATCAGACTGGGAGAGTTACTTTGTTTTCCCCCTTGTTGGTGAGAATGTAAAATAATGCAGCCATTTTGAAGCAATTTGTTCCTCAGATCATTAAATCTATACCTACCATATAACCTAGCAAATCCATTCCTAGGTACATACCCGAGAGAAATAAAAACAAATACAATATAAAATCTTGTATGTGAACATTCATAATAACATTATTATGATAACCTAAAATGAAAACAACCTAAATGTCCATCCACTGATGAATATGTGAATAAACAATATGGTATATTATTCTGCCTTACAAAAGAATGAAGTACTGATACATGCTACAACATAAATGAGTCTTGAAAACATGATGCTAAGTAAAATGGTAACAAACCACTTATTGTATGATTCCATGTATATGAAATATCCATACTAAGCAAATACATAAAGACAGAAGTAGATTAGTGGTTGTTAGGGACTGAAGAGCGGGATGAATGCAAAGTGAGTGCTAATGAGCATGAGGTTTCTTTTTGAGGATGATGAAAATATTCTGGAATTAGATAGTGATGATGGTTGAACAACTCTGTGAATTCCCTAACAACCAGTGAATTGTACATTTTAAAGAGTAAATTTTAAGGTATGTGATTTATTTCTCAATAAAGCTGTCATAAAAATAAAAACAACCGAGATTAATTGTCTAAAATGAAACCCTAACTTTGATAAATCTAATTGTGTCAACACTTTCCAATGGCCTCCTCTTGTCTTTAGGATTAACTTCAAAGGCCTTGACTTGGGCTGCTCGTACTCGTTACACGGTGGTGATCGCTGTGTAACTGTAGTTTCATTTCTTGGCATTCCCTTCCCCAAATATAGATACACCAAACTCCATGCTTCTGTCATATTAAACCTCTTCAAAGTCTTTACCTCTAGAACTTTGAGTTCCTTATGCTCAGTTCTTAAAACAGCCCTTCTCCATCTCCTACTCTTCTGTGAAACCTTCTTTAGCCCATCCCCCATTACTTAAACAGCCACAAAGATGGTAGAATGCTCATTTAAAATAACAATGATGATGTTTTCCATCCAAATACTGGGATTTATTAGACAATGCTTGATTAGTAATTAGTGATTTGTTAGATAATGCATAGTTGATGGTCAGTTAATGTAATATGTACAACTGAATGGGTATATAAGTCAGAGTTCTTCAGAGAAACACAGCCAATAGGATGTAGAAGTGAGTGAGAGGGACACAGAGGGAGATTGATCTGATTTATTATAAGGAACTGCCTCATGCAATTGTGGAGGCTGATAAGTACTAAGACTGGCAGTTGGCAAGCTGGAGACCCAGGAGATCTGACAGTGTGGTTCCATCTGAAGGCCTGCAGACTAGACACTCAGGAGAACCAATGTTTCAGTTTGAGTCCAAAGGCATGAAAAAAAACACACAAAAAACTATGGCCTAGCTCAAAAATAGTCAGGTAGGAGGAGGAATCCCCCCTTATTTGAGACAAGGTCAGCCTATTGTTTTAGTCAGACCTTCAACTCATTGGATGAGGCCCACTCACATTAGGGAAGGAAGTCTGCTTTACTCAGTTTTTTGATTTACAAATTAAATTCATCCAGAAGCACTCTCACAAAAATACCTATGATAATGATGGAATAAATATCTGGGCACCTCATGGCGCAGTCAAGCTTATGCATAAAAGTAATCATTACAACAGGCATTTACTGTGTGCATCTATTAGGTATTGGTCTTTTTGTTTGTTATTATTTTGTATTTTTAGTTTTTGAGGAATTGATAGTAGGCAGAGTTTTGAGGAGGTGGCAGTAGGTGGAACTCCTTGTGCTCCAGTTTTCAAATTCGTATCTGTAGTAGGCAGAATTCTAAGATAATCTCCGAGTCATGCCTTTGTATAATCACATTGTGTAACTGAACTTGTGACTTGCTTCTAGCCAATCGAATATGGCAAAGTTAACAGGAAAGTCACTCCCTTGTTGTTACACTATATGCTGTTCTGTCTTGGACAACTGGATCGAGACTTTCTCCTGCTGGCTTTAAAGAAATAAGCTGCAATGTCACGAGACCACTAGTAGCAAGGAACTGTAAGGGCCTCTCATTGCCGAGAGTGGCACCTTGCTAACAGGCAGCAAGGAAGCAGTGACCTCAATCCTACAACCACAAGAAATTAAAGTCTTCCAACAACCACGTGAGCAGGCTGGCAAACAAATAGCTTGTAACCCATGAGATGCTGAGTAGAGGACCCAGTTAACCATGCCTAAACTCCTGACCCATCCGAACCGTGAGATTATAAATTTATGTTGTGCTAAGCCTCTAAATTGGTAATAATTTGTTAAGTAGCACAATAGAGAAATAATGCAGTGTCCCTGCTGCCTAACTCTCCTTTAACCTCAACATGAAAACCTGTTCTGGTCATATTTTAAAAAGTGGATGGGCAAATTGTATTTAATTACAACTTAGTAGGGCAGACATAAGAGGTCCAGAAATTGGATTGAAAGTTGAAACCTGCAGAAGCAGGGCTAAAAGAAATTCCAGTCTGAACAGGAAAGACTTGACACAGAAATTTAACATGGAGCAAAAGCGTGTTGGCACCAAGTGAAAAATGCAGTCAAGTATAGTATGGAGGATAAGAGATGAGGCATATTTTGATATCTAAGCAGACTATTTATGTTGCCAAGTTTGTAAAATCATAGCAGGGGGTTGGCTTCCAGGCACAGTACTCAAATATCTAAGAAGAGAAACTACACAAAGTCATTGCTCTATTCTAATGAAAGCCAGCAGTCTAAGCAAGCAGAAACAGGATTTAGGGCTGTTAATGGAATAATTTCTCACTTACAAGAACTGGATAAATTATAACAAATTCTGAAACTCCAGTATGTGTACTACAGTTACTTTTAGTTAGGTTAGGTTCAGAGAGTTCTAGATTTCTTCCTAATTTGTGACAAAATAAATATCATTAACATCTAAACAATTAAGGCAGAAATCTTTGCACTAAAGTGCAGAGTATACAAATGCAAACATATATACATTAAATGACCCCTTTATTCCTCAGAGCAACCCGCAGGTCTTACAGAGTGAGGACTTCCTGAAAGGTTCTAGCTGCCTGACTGTCACCAAGTACCCGCATTGTGTGTCGGAGTGGAGGGAGGGGGGTTGCACTAAAAGACAGATTTGGGCCCAAACCCATGTCTCTGATAATGTTCAGAAAACATCCACAGCAATCATCCAAACTACAGTGACAAGATAATTTAATGAAAAATATTAGGATTTGGTCACTGCTTATTACCTCGTTCCAAACTGAATCAGTCCACGAAACATTTCATGCTTTTTTAATTTAATTTTTCTTTCTTGTTTGTCTAATAAATCCAGTTTTCTCTCTTTACCTTGATTCAATGAGCAACCCTAGAGTTTCTTTGCCACTCTCAGATGCACACTTAGCTACTAAGGGATTGTAAGAAATAGTTACATTATAAGTGACTAAGTGTCTGCTGAGGAATTCTCAGTATAAACTCATTTCCAGATCATCTCTTAATTCTAAGAGAGTACATAAACAGTACAAGCAGGCAGGCACATCTGGGTGGAAAAAACAGCCGAAGATTATTTTGTCACATTAGAACTCCTTGTCTCAGGTCAGCCTGGTCCTACAGAAAGAACTGAACATGTCAAATGGCCACAGCTTAGCATAAAATGAATATAAGGTCTAATAATGAGGCTCCAAACAAGATTACCAAAGCCAGCTAGTTGTGTGGCCAGGGTTCACCTGAAATTCTCGTTTAGATTCAGACAAACTTCTAAAATCTTGAGCATATATTCACAGTTCCCTGTGACCTGGACACATTGTAGATTTCTAATCTGAAGTATTACTTTTGCTTTTGTACTCCAGCCAAAAACAGATACTTTTCATTTTAGTCTAGAATGGCCTATCCTTTTTGACCCCACTGTATGTGCCATCTCTGTTCTTTTTGTCTGGAATGCCCCTTAACTGATATTACTTTCTGGAATAGTTCATCTTCCCTTAAGTTTTACACCTTACATTCTGCCTAAAAACATGATCAAAATGTTTTTGTTCTACAATAAGCACATCCTAAATGCTGTTCTTGCTTTAAATTACTTCCTTTTCTTTCATTTATACCAAAAATCATCTTATACTATTACTGCCACCTAGTTGACTAGATAGCTGAGAAAAAAATATTCCTCCCACTGTAGACATCCTAAAAACGCTAAGTAAAATACAACCACCAACCTTGTGCTCTCCAGAAAGTAAATCTACAGGTGATGAGAGTGATGAAGTAGAAAACAAGTTTGTTGTAAGTAAGGATGCTGAAACCACAGGTGCCTTGAGACTGTTTACAGATCTTGTTAACCTAAAATCTTGGGGAAATAAAATCTTTTCTGAGATTTCACATGTGAAGATCATTCTCCTTTCACTAGAAATTTGAATTTGTTGTTTATATTACCTGTATGGTCCAAGAAACTCTAAGTTGAAACACTAATTTAAAAATTGTTTTTGCCTCGTGGTGCCTAGCAGAAAGAAATACAAATATTCTCTGAAGGGATTCAGCCTCAGTTTAGGACACATAGATTCCCACATGTGAAACTCTGCCAAAGTTGAGCTCACAATGCAAAATTTCCAAACGTAGAAATAAACAAGCCGCTACAACTAAGAATTAGTAGAAATAACAAGCAGCAAAATGAGAAATTCCAAAAACAACAGATATTGAAAATTTGGAAACAGAGTATTAGCTAAGTGTGTTTAAAAGATCTAACTAAACAAAAGAGTTGAATAAATAAAGAAGTAAGAAACTTTGAAAACATACTTAGCATTATTCGATGAAGAAGAAAGAAGTTGCACCCACACTTCAGAAAGATATTCCAACTGGAACAGAGATTTCCATGTAAAATGTGAAATGATGAAAATACTGGGAGGAATCATGGAAGAATATTTTACAACCTCTGAGTGTATAAATTCTCTCTGGAAATAAAAAAAAGTCCAAAAACCATTAAAGAAAGGACTGAAAAATTCCTCTCTAGAAAAGAAAAAAATTTCTGTGTGGTGACATCCAACAAAAACAAAGTGAAAAGAAAAATGACAAAATGGGGAAAAAAAAACTCCTATCACCAAAAAAAAAAAAAACCGGTGAGACAGCCTCCCTAATATTAATAAAGAATGCCTACAAATTGAAAATAAAAAGACTAAAGTTCAGTATAATATGGGTATAGGATATGAACATTTAATTCTTAGTAACAGAAATATAAAGAACTTTTAAACATGAAAATGCCTTTCAAACACCAATAAAAAAACAATGCCAATGAAAACAACTAGGAAATACCATCTGTCACATATCAAATTAATAATGTTGCAGAAATCCGATGACCCACTGTACTGTTTAGACTGCAGGTTAATAGACTCTATCATACATTGCTGATGGGAATGCAAATGGCTGCAATCCTTAGAGAAGACAATTCGACAGAATTATTAAGGCAACAGATTCAAATAACTCTGACCCGGCAAAACTACATGGATATTGACATATATTAATTAATTTATTGAAATATTTATAGTAATATGATATAAATACAATATCCATTATTAGAGGGCTGAATAAATAAGGTATATTCATAAATGTATTACTATGCATCTATTAAATACCACAATGAGGAATCTCCCTAGGTGCTGACAGGATCACCACCATAGTATGTTACTAACTAAAAAAGTTGAAGAATAGTGACTAGTGCATGTCAATACTGTATGTTGTCCATCAATACTGTATACTCTATGTGTAAATAGTGATAATGCTTTTCACCTTTTGTGATAAAAAAGGATGAGAACTTTTTAATTTTAATTTTAATTGTTTCAGTGGGTATAAAGTATCTCTATATTAGCTCTAAATAGCAGTAACAAAATTATTGTATTGACAGTAGGTAATGAGAATCTAGTGAATGGGGTTCAGAAGAAAGTTTTCATAATATATCTTTGTAGCATTCAAGATCATGTCAGGAAAGCAAATTCAGTAGATGGTTAAAACTTAAGGTATTTTTCACCAAGTTTTGACTAAGTATTAGGCAAGGTTGAAGAAATTAACAAGAGAGGTGGAGGCACCTAGAAGAGGAAGCCATTATCACACTGCCACCCATAGGAAAGAGCAGGAAATAGTTTTGTAGAGTTCAGTGAGAGCCTCTGTCAGAAAGGACCACCTGATCAGACCTGTAATTACAGTGGGACTCAGCAACCGGCAGAATTCCTATGCCAAAGCAGAGGAAAGAGGGAAGAAATATTTATATCTCTCTTCCTTTCAGCCGTCTCATCTTCACCCTGTGTCTTTCAATAGACAAACTCAACCAGAAACCAGGTAACAAAGAACCCCAGCAGTGCAGTCCATATGGGTGATATTCCTGGAGCACAGAGCAGGAGAAAGAAGAATAAGAATATATTCTTATTATATGCAAATTACTAGTGGAATTAGATACTATGTGGCATACAGATTGAAAAAATTAAATGTGACAACTCTGTGTTAGCGAGACTTCGACTCCAAAGCAATTCTTAGATATGGCCAGTGGATATGTGAACCAATAGAACCTTCGGAAAGCAACTGAGCAATATCTAGTTCAAGTTGAAGATGTCCATTCTCATGAACCAGGAATTCCACCCTAAAATAAACAGCCCTTTGGAAACTCACTCATTTGCACCTGGAGACATACACAAGAATGTTCACCACAGCTTCTCTGTGATAGTATAAATGATGACAAATCACCTGAATGTCCATTAATAAGAGAGTGGAAATTTGTGCCATATTCATTTCTTACAACAAAAGAGTGGACAGCAGTGAAAATGAATGAATTAGAGATACACCTGTCAAAAACAAGAACCTCACACACACAAAACAAGTTGCTGATGTTATTCATCAGCATGCAAAATTATATATTATTTAGGGATAATAATTAGGGTAATACCATATTCAGGATAGAGGTTAACTCTGAGGCATGACAGATGGGTAGTTTGAAAATGAAATGAGTATGATAGCACCTATTACATTTTTGATAAGTTCTTAGGTATATTTGAAATATAATAAAATTTAAGAGTATGTTAAATAGGACCAAAGTAAATATGTATCTGTATAATGATAGGATACATTTGTTATGAATTGAATTGTATCCCCCAAAATTTATATGCTATAGTCCTTACTTCCTATGTGACTGGTCTTGGAGGCAATTAAGTTTAATTGAGATAATAAAAGTGAAGCCCTAATCCACTAAGACTGGGGTCTTTATAAGAATAGAAAGAGTCATGTGGGGTGAGAATGCACAGAAAAAAGGACATATGAGGTTACGGAGAGAAAGCAGTCATCTGAAAGCCAAGGAGAGAAGAGTCAGGGGAAACCAAACTTGCCAACATTCTGATCTTGGATTTCTAGACTCTAGAACTATGAGAAAATAAAATTAAATAAATGTCTGCTGTTCAAACTGTGGTATTTTGTTGTAGCAGCCCTGGCAAACTAATACAGCATGTAATTTATTTTTTTGGTATCCACAGTCATTACTTTTGAAATTCTGATATTTCTCTGTCTTAGTATTTAATTTGCTTTCATAATGCTCATGGTTACAACTTCCTAATAGTAATATTCAGTGGTCCTTTAACTTTCTTTATGTACATCAGTTTATCTCTGAAGAAATGACTACTATTACTCCTTCTTTTATATTGTTTCCTTCTCTTTTTTCTTTGTTTTCATCATGTTGAGTTTTACTTGTCCTCCTCCAAAATCTGTATCTGTTATTTACCTCCACATTTATTCTCCATCTGCTGCAAGGTAGCTTCTCTAAGTCTGTGTCTTGCCTCTCCTGTGTCCTTTCCACTTTCCCCTATGGAATATCATTCAACTAAGTTATTTTTATTATCACAGTCATGCAAATAATTCCCAAAGCCTTATCTGAAAGCCTTTTCTCTCGCTTATTTTCCAAGGACAGAAACTAACTCCCATTGCCTACGACTACTAGGTACTAGGTCATTTATTACACACTGACCTATACTGTCACTTGGTGTCTACAGCTACTCTAGGAACAGCATGCTATTAGTCACTGCTGTTACAGAAGTAATGACTTATACAATATCATGCATAATGTAGTTTAATCAAAACGAAAAGTAATCCCTACTAATAATGAGAAGACAAACACAGAAAGGATCTTACAGCCAACCGCATGTAGAAATCTGTTAAGACCCACATCTTTTTGAATGTAGACTTTTGCTATTGATTCTCAGCCCCTGTGTATAATTCCCAGTTCCACATTCCACTAATACCTCTAAAAACATTTTTCTAAAACTGAACTCATCATTTTATCCTCATATCTGTTTTTTTCCATTTTCTTTACCACCTCTCATATTTCCATTATCATCTTCTGAGTCACTGAAGCACAAAAACTTTGTATTGTTTCCAGTGCCTTTTCCTCTTTCTTGCTCGCCGCATGCAGTAAGTTTCTTCCATAAGCCCCTTATCTTCACTGCCATCTTCTGCTCCCTGTTGGTATCATTTCTTGTAAGGCTATTGATATCATATTTTAACTGGATCTTTTCTTTCCGGTTCTCTTCCTCCATTCACTTAATTAGCAAAGTAATCTTCTTGAAACCTAAATACAATCCTACCAAGCCCCTGATGTAAAATTTCTATCTCAGGTCGAATACATTTCCAGTGCTCCAGGGAAAATTTCTTTTAAGACTTTGCCACAGTTTCTTGACTGTCTCACCAATCCATTGAGATCCTGTACATTCACTTTCATACCCGTACCTGCTTTGCTTCCCAATGGCCTTGAATTTCCATTTGTGAATGCCATTTGTTTCCTGGTTAAAGCATGTCCTTGATTTATGATTTATTTATTTATTTCTAGCTTTATTTCTATCTTCAGTTCCTATGTATTAAAATATTTTTGGCTTGGTATCATCCATATGTTTGTAACATGTCTTCAGTCACTGAGGGATTTTTTTGGCTTGTTTATCTACTTGACTGTTTGAGGGAGAGTCAGTAGTTGGTTTTGGATTTCAATACATGTGGTCAGCAAAAACAGGTCCTTCAGAAAACAGTTGTAATAAACTTTTAATATCTTCTCCAACTTTCACCTCTTATGTACGTGATTCTCTAACTTTTTATAACATAGCACATGCAGAAAATTAGGTTTGTGTTTATATGGCCTGATATAAAAATGAAGGCAGATGCTGCAGAGATGACAAACTGAGGGCTCTTACTAATCAAACAAATTAGATGCACATTTGGCACACAATTCATTCATTCCAGATATGTGCATTGATTTCTGAAGCTCACCAGTTAAGATTTTCTTTATGTAATATTTTGATTATTGAATACTATAGATAATTTAATTTTAAGAAAAGTCACCAAATCCTTTATATTTTGACATTTTTAGTATTTGTGACACCTATGCCAGAATTATCAGTGTTCACCAACATTTATTTCTCCTCAGCTCTTGAGTACAAGAACGATGTCACTGTGCACCCATTTATTTCATTGTCAAGAAGATTGTTCCCATAGACCATTTTTTTGTTCATTTTAAGATGCCAGTGATTGTAGGACACTCTATCTCTAACAAGAGAATGTTGGTGAGACATAAAGAAACATTATATTAAGTGCATTTATTGATTGATACTTTTCAATGTCAGAAATGTTTAAATAAGGAAGTTATGTCTATTTTATAATCAAAGAAAATAACAGTATTTAGGAATTATCCATTTATTTAAGGAAGAATATCTTTTTTTTTTTTTAAGGAAGAATATATCTTGTACATCTCTGTTTCCAGCTGACATTTTTCTGGTGGATAGAAGCTTTTAATTCTCTTTGTAATTGGCAAACCTAGAAGAAGTGGTAACCATGTCTATTTAACTAGCTCTGTGTATTGGCTTTTTGAGGCTTTTTTGTGAGACATACATTCTCTTTGTAGCTATGTGCAAATTAAAGTAGATCTCCAAGTGACTGTTAAATTCCATGCATCAAATACCCTAGGATACAGGACAGGATAGCAGGATAGGATTCCTTCCCAATCCTAGCACATACGATTGCCCCTCTTTCCCATTTGTGATGTCCATTTGAAGAATGATAGGTACATGTGTGAATGTACCGGTACTAGCTCTTCAGTTGTAAAAAACAGGTTCCTTTTCTGTACAATATGTGTATAGTATCGTGTACAGTTTCAAAATTCTCAATACTATTAGTGGCAAAACACTGATTTTTAAGCTTATTTTTTTTTCCCCCTCAGGGGCTTGCTAGGGTTGTTTCACTGAGAATTCCAGATGGAGAAGGACTGCTTTCTGGCTCATACATGGAAGCCTGCCAAAGACAGAGAGGCTGTAGTTATATTAATCTTCAAGTGGGGGTGGGGAGGACCTCGACAGTCCCCTGAAGGATTTGAAAAACATATTTACACCTCCTGCTTTGCCAACAGTGACAGAAAACAAATCATTGCTCTGTACAGACAGCATGATGGAAGCATATTTAACTGAAGGGAAGTTAAAAACAACAATTGCTCAGATTACCTCAGAACAAGGCATTTCAAGAAGGTACTCCATTTTTTTCTGTCCCTTAATTTTTTCAGAGGTAATATTCTCCACCCCTCCCCCACTGCAATCTAAATGATGCTCTGAGCCCAGAAAGGGGTCTCTCCTAATACCCTTTCCCTCGTCTTTCCCAATAAGTGAAAATCTAGGTTTACAATTCCATGCAAAATATCATCGACATATTGTAATTGTCAAAGGGGTGAAGACTTGAAGCTGGCTTCAGTAATGTGTTTGGCTCTTAATCCAAGGTTAACAGAGGCAGTACTGAGTTCATGGAGAAATTATTGAGAAGAGTCATCATGACACATCCTTCT